TGTAATCGTAGAAGCACGACAAACTATAGAATTTTCCAACGGAATTAACCGTTACATCAGCATATAACTATAAGACTGGACGTTGTGTTATTACGATTAATGCGCTTGGAATCGCGCATTGTACTATCGCTCGTGTTAATGAAACGCTATAATTAATTTTAATTACGCGGCTGCGCGCGTTTTCACGATAGGAGGTCGAAGCAGCAGTTTTCGCGTATTAAATGCGATATAAAATGCAAATCCGTTTTAATCGTCGTTGAAAACTTTTTCGTACAATTTCGCGTGTTTACATAGCGCGTTTTTTGTTTACAAAATTGGTGGAGGGAAAAATTTCGTTTGTTCGAAACGAGGAAACGAGGTTTTCGAAAAAAAAAAAAAAAAAGGAAAAATCGATAACCGGGATGGCCGTCGATAAAATGTTTTCCGAAAGGATCAATTTGTAATCTTATCTTATTGTACACGACACATTCGGTACCGTAATGTTTCATCAAATACCATTCCATTCCGCAATGATAAATGACAATCCCAACGATGGAATATCGATTATCAATATTATTCCATCCATAAATAACTTTTTCGATAGATTCATAAATAAAGAAGAAATAAGAAGGAACAAGAGACGCGTGTTAAACGGCAAGTGACATTAACGACGACCTTACAAAGTCTTTAACAACATTTTAATATCCATCCACTCAATATTCTTCTCGCACTTATCACATGGTGCAAATAGACACGAGCAAATCCTACGAGACGTTCGATAACTTTTAAAAACTTCGTTTCAGAAAGATCGCAATTCCGAAACGATAAAACGATCGTGAAATGGTAAACGGGGGCTCGACCCACTACAATACGGCCCTGCACACAGTTCCGCATCTACGTTGCTTACCTACAAGCGTTTCGAGCGCAAAATTAAATTGCTCGTAACTCGATAAACTCGAGCCTCGGCCGAAATTTTTGCACACTAACATTTTCATGCCTGTTTCGGTGAAGTCTAGAAAGATCCAAAGATCGACACAACAATGTATATAGATATATCTCGTAACGGACAACTCGTAATATTCGTAATGGCTGCGTTTGCACACTTGGAAGGACACCACCCCTTTACCGCGCGATGGTACGCGGTCTCTATCCCTTCCACCGGAGTCTAGTCAACACCACAGTTTAGTTGACTCGTTATGAGGCATCCTTAAAGGAGCATCCAACCGTGTAGCGGTTTTTAAGCGAACCGCCTTAACTATACACCGCGTAAACCGCTGCAGTATATTGAATAGAGTAGTGTACAAGCGTGTTTTGTACACACGCATGCACGCATACACGTACATGGTTGAAGAGTGAAATTCAAACAAATAGCGTGGCTAGAGAAGGCCGAGGTTCGAGGACTTACGGAGTTAGAGTGGCTAACGAGGGTACCGGTTGATTCAGACTCGAGGGCATTGCAGTTTCCGCTCCATTTGCTCCACGTTCCTCCATTCCATTGTGTTTTCACCTTAGTGTATATAATTTTATGTATACTTTCCTCTTTCTGGAGTTCTCAAATTTTCCATGATTTTTCTTCACTTTGAATAACAAAATACTGAAAATTATTATCAGAATTCTAACGCTTTGGGCTCGAGAGGCGAATCTCAATCGAGTAACGAATGATTTATGCTAGATTTCATTGAGATCTTATTAATAAGAGCCCGATATTAATTTGTAATAGATCTCTTAGATCTTTGTTTCTTTATTAAGAAGTGTATAAAATTATTTTTGTGTTATCTATGTTACACTTGTCACGTGTGCGCTGAATCATCTCGAGCTTTTACTTTGCTTTTCGACTGAAAAAGTCGTTTAGCGCATAGGAAAGAAGAAAGAACAGAGAATCGTAAGGAACGAAAATAAAAGAAAATAATTATACCCGAATATTTATTTTCGTACATTCGTGTAGTCGTTGTAACCGTTCATTCCAATTCATTCCAACGAAAAGATTACACGTTTCGGGAAAAGGTGTAGACGTGGGTCGATAGGGTCGATTCCACGCTCCATTCGCGATATCATTCGCGAAACGAGGAAGGTGAAACGGTTCTATTCTCTCACGGGTTTATATTTGTATTTGTACCGAGGAATAACAAGGTGGAAGATATTCGCCTGGTCGCCGAATTAGACATAGCCACACGGAGCACACACACATCGGTTCTGTATAGATGGGAACGTGTGGATTTCAACCAGCGCAACCTCCGCCATGTTTATAGCATTTGCGCAAATAACCGACGCTTAAATAAACAGTTGCCGGTATCGCGTATAATATTTATCGTGCCCTTCCCTCCTCCTCGTCCATATTGCACTCCTCGCGGACAAACTCACGTCATCTTTGCCTGTTTACGCGTTGGATATATGGGTATATGTGTATATATTATGAATCCGGAAAATTAATTTTCCATTCTGAATTTTCTACCATTCACATTTATGCGATTTTTCTATTTTTTTTTTTTTTTTTTTTT